TTAAACCTTTCATGAAAATACTATAAAGTTTAATTCTGCAGTGAGACAAACACATCATTTCTCCTGAATACAGTTGTGGTGTTATTCTGGGAAGCTGTACATCCCTCATGGGAAAATGCTGTCAGTAATTCCTTTTGAGTGCCAGAAGTCATCTCTCGGAGCTGCCCTGGGAAAACTGAAGCAGACAAGTCAGAGTGGTAAAGACTTTTCTTTTGAAATCTTGAACATCTGACCTATACTTTCCTATAGCGACATATATGAAATGAAGAAAAACATGTCAAATGACCTTTTGCCTTATATTCAGCAGAATCCAAATCATGCAGTTTTGTGTCTTCCTGGACCACCCAGACTTATAGTGACGTCACACAGACAGCAGAAATCAAGAGCAGAATGTCAACCAAAAATGTAAGAGACTATAAATTATACCAGTTTTTCTTATGGAGTTCTGATTTTACAGTGGGGATGTTCATGCAATGCCAAATTCATGGATTTAATTACCAGGGAAAGCAAGAACTGATTTAAAAAAAAAAAAGTGTACCTTGAATGCAAGAATGAAATACTTGAGTAGCCTCCTGTAAATTCAGTTGTTTTTTTTTCATGGAAGAGTCTGTGCATTCGAGCCATATAAAAGATAAACAAAAATGCCCTTGCTCAGTTAAACCAAACCCTTTAAGACTGTCACGATTAAAGTGAAATGTGAAAATGAATTAAAAGTGTTTATTGCGGCATACATTTAGATCTGCTCACAATGATCAAAGATTTTTTTATGCACATTTTCCCCCAGCATTGAGCATTATAATAGGGCTGGGCGATAAATCGATAACGATAATTACCGAGCGATATAAATTTCCTCAAAAAAACGATAACAAGAGTTCGATAAATGTTCGAGATAATGTTTATGCGGCAAAGGCAGAACGAAAGAGCGCTAGTCCTTTGAAGCGTGCCACTCGGAGCGTTTATCCACTCGGATCAAAGTTCAAACAGCGGTGCGGAGCGAGCTTCACTAGAGCAGATGCGTTCACTCGCTGATGAGTCTCGCTCACGCGACACTGAACAGCGCTGTGAGATCCAGTGTGAAGTGCTTGAATTCAGCGAGGAACACAAATAACTGTTTACAGCCAAATGAAACGGCGCTGACAAACAGCAGAAACACTGTGCGCAACGATACAGTCAGAAGACTTTTTAATCTACAAATCGCCATCATTTACCATGGATTTACTGTTGTAGCACTAACTGCACCATGGTATTGTGTCAGAAATGTGTGTATTCGTGTCAAATTTTTTATATTATTAATGTAGACATGTATTAAATGTATTGAAGGAGTAATGGAATATAGTTACAGTATTTTTTGTGATTAAGCTATAGTGTTTATACATTTATAAATGTATTTAGACTATTTTTTGTTTTGTTTTTCATAAATATCTACACGCCATATTACATTTTTACTATGGTATTGAGGTGCTATATTTGTGGTTTTAACAGTGATTATCATGATCTAAATGTATGCTACTATGGAAGACCAATGGTTAAAAAAAACACCTCAAACAGTCGGAATAATTAAATTTCACCAGATGAGATTTTTACAGATATTACTGATTTTGATAATGAACATAAATCTACATCTGGGCCCATATTCAAAAAACATCTTAAGGCTAAAAGTAGCTCGTAACTCGCCGATTTAGGAGAAAATCTTAAAAATAATGGGAGTGTCAGTCCTAAATTTAGGACTCCTAAATTTTTGATCTAAAAGTATTTCACAAAGCATTTTAGCATTAAAACTAACTCATAAATCTGTGAAATGTTAGTAGTGAAGAGGACACCTAAGTCACTAAGATCAAACCACAAACTATTCCTAAAATGGCTGTTGCCGGCAATCTGCCTCGGAACGTAAACATTTTAGAAATATTTGATGATAATGAGCTTTTATAAAGGTATCACCTTTGGTTCCCAACTCCAAATTTTCCTTTGATTATGTCCTTGTTTTCATTAACCAGTTGGGCAAGAAGTAACAGCTGTGCTTGTGTCTTACTGTCAGCCATGATTATTCTACTGTTTATTAAAAGGCTGTTTATATGCATATTCACTAATTATGAGAAGCATACATGTAAGGGGCTGACAATTAGCTGAACACATACTTGTTTAATTAGTGACACTTAGCCTGCTTTTTAACATCTTTATTTGAATGTGGCAACATTTTTATTTTTAAACCTTTATCTTTACTCTAAAATATTTCTATGAATAAATCTCTGGCAGAGACTATCAGCCAATCACTGTGGGCATAGTTACTAAGCATGCTGACATCATCCATAGCAAAGAGGTCAACCCCGCCCTTACTCTTAGCTTAAGACTTCTCTCTATTCCTTAGTGAAAGTTTGTCTCAGCAGCTTTGTGAATAGGTTTTAAGAGAAAACTCTTAGCTAAAAACCTTTACTGCTATTTATGAGAACTCTTAGTGGTAAGATAAAATGTTTTGTGAATACGGGCCCTG